TCCTAGAGGCAGAGAGGACCCCTCCTAAGATCAAGGAAAACAGGCCAACACCCCAGCATGTAATAGTAATACTTGCAAATCTTAGAACCAAGGAAACCATCTAAAGGGCAGTTAGGGGGAAGAGATTCCTTACGTACGGAGGGAGAAACATCAGAATAACGTCAGACCTATCCACAGAGACCTGGCAAGCCAGAAAGGCCTGGGAAGACATATTCAGGGTACTAAATGAGAAGAACGTGCAGCCAAGAATATTTTATCCGGCAAGGCTTTCATTTAGAATGGATGGAGAGATGCAGAGCTTCCATGACCAGCAGAAGTTGAAAGAATATGTGACCACTAAGCTGGCCCTGCAATAAATATTAAGGGGGGTTCTATAAAAGGAGAAAGACCCCAAGAATGATATACAACAGAAATTTACAGGGACAATCTATAAAAACAACATCTTCACAGGCAACATGATGACAATTAATTCATACCTTTCAATAATCACTCTCAACATGAATGGCCTAAACGCTCCCATAAAACAGCACAGGGTTGCAGATTGGATAAAAAGACAGGACCCATCCATATGCTGTCTACAAGAGACTCATTTTGAACCTAAAGAAACATCGAGACTGAAAGTGAAGGGCTGGAGATCCATCCTCTATGCCAGCGGACCTCAAAAGGAAGCTGGGGTAGCAATTCTTATATCAGACAAATTAGATTTTAAACTAAAGTCTGTAATAAGAGACACAGAAGGGCACTCTATCATTCTCAAAGGGTCTATCCAACAAGAAGTCTAACAGTTGTAAATATCTATGTCCCCAACATGGGAGCAGCCATCTACATAAGCCAACTGTTAACCAAAATAAAGAGTCATATTGATAACAATACATTAATTGTAGGAGACCTCAATACTCCACTCTCAGCAGTGGACAGATCATCTAGCAGAAAATCAACAAGGAAACAAGAGCTTTGAATGATACACTGGATCAGATGGACCTCATAGATATTTACAGAACATTCCACCCTAAAACCACAGAATACTCATTCTTCTCAAGCGCACATGGAACTTTCTCCAGAATAGACCATATACTGGGTCACAAATCAGGTATCAACCGATACCAAAAGACTGAGATTATTCACTGCATATTCTCAGACCACAATGCTCTAAAACTGGAACTCAATCACAAGAAAAAATTTGGCAGAAATTCAAACACTTGGAAGCTAAAGACCACTCTGCTCAAGAACATTTGGGTCAACCAAGAAGTCAAAGAAGAACTTAAACAATTCATGGAAATCAATGAGAACGAAAACACATCGGTCCAAAACCTATGGGATACTGCAAAGACGGTCCTAAGGGGGAAATACATAGCCATCCAAGCCTCACTCAAAAAAATACAAAAATCCCGAATTCACCAACTAAGTCTACACCTTAAAGAACTAGAGAAAAAGCAACAAACGATGCCTAAGCCATGCATTAGAAGAGAAATAATTAAAATTGGAAGAGAAATCAATTAGAAACCAGAAACACAGTAGATCAGATCAACAAAACTAGAAGTTGGTTTTTTGAAAGAATTAATAAGATCGATAAACCACTGGCCAGACTTATCCAAAAGAACAGAGAAAGGACCCAATTTAATAAAATTATGAATGAAAGGGGAGAGACCATGACTAACACCAAGGAAAGAGAAACAATTATTAGAAATTATTATGAACAACTATATGCCAATAAACTGAGCAATCTGGATGAAATGGAGGCCTTCCTGGAAACGTATAAGCTACCAAGACTGAATCAGGAAAAAATTGACAACATGAATAGGCCAATAACCAGTAACGAGATTGAAGCAGTGATCAAAAACCTCCCAAAAAACAAGAGTCCAGGGCCTGAAGGATTCCCTGGGGAATTCTACCAAACATTTAAAGAAGAAATAATACCTATTCTATGGAAGCTGTTTCCAAAAATAGAAATAGAAGGAAAACTTCTAAACTCATTTTAGGAGGCCAGCATTACCTTGATCCCTAAACCAGGCAAAGACCCCGTCAAAAAGGAGAATTTCAGACTGATATCCCTGATGAATATGGATTCCAAAATCCTCAACAAAATCCTAGCTAATAGGATCCAACAATACAGTAAAAGGATCATCCACCACAACCAAGTGGGATTTATCCCCCGGATGCAAGGGTGGTTCAACATTCGCAAATCAATGTGATAGAACACATTAATAAGAGGAGAGAGAAGAACCATATGGTCCTCTCAATTGATGCAGAAAAAGCATTTGACAAAATACAACATCCTTTCCTGATTAAAACTCTCCAGAGTATAGGGATAGAGGGAACATTCCTTAAGCTCATAAAATCCATCTATGAAAAACCCACGGCGAATATCATCCTCAATGGAGAAAAGGTCAGATCCTTTCCCTTAAGATCAGGAACATGTCAAGGGTGCCCACTCTCTCCACTGTTGTTCAACATAGTACTAGAAGTCCTAGCAACAGCAATCAGACAACAAAAAGAAATAAAATGTATTCAAGTTGGCAAAGAAGAAGTCAAACTCTCTCTTTTCACAGATGACATGATACTTTATGTGGAAAACCCAAAAGACTCCACCCCCAAATTACCAGAACTCAGCCAACAATTCAGTAATGTGGCAGGATACAAAATCATTGCCCAGAAATCAGTTGCTTTCCTATACACTAACAATGCAACTGTAGAAAGAGAAATTAGAGAAACGATTCCATTTACAATAGCACGAAAAACCATAAGATACCTCGGAATAAACCTAACCAAAGAGGTAAAGGATCTATACTCTAGGAACTACAAAACACTCATGAGAGAAATTGAAGAAGACACAAAAAGATGGAAAAATATTCCATGCTCATGGATCAGAAGAATAAACATTGTTAAAATGTCTATGCTACCCAAAGCAATCTATACCTTCAATGCCATCCTGATCAAAATTCCAATGACATTTTTCAAAGTGCTGGAAGAAACAATCCTGAAATTTGTAGGAAATCAGAAAAGACCCCGAATCACCAAAGAGATGTTGAAAAAGAAAAACAAAGTTGGGGGCATCACATTGCACGGCTTCAAGCTATATTACAAAGCAGTGATCACCAAGACAGCATGGTATTGGCACAAAAACAGACATACGGACCAATGGAACAGAATAGAGAACCCAGATATGGACCCTCAACTCTATGGTCAAATAATCTTTGACAAAGCAGGAAAAAACATGCAATGGAAAAAAGTCTCTTCAATAAATGGTGCTGGGAAAATTGGACAGCCACATGCAGAAGAATGAATTCGACCATTCTCTAACAGCATTCACAAAGATAAACTCAAAGTGGATGAAAGACCTCAATGTGAGACAGGAATCCATCCAAATCCTAGAGGAGAACATAGGCAGTAACCTCTTTGACATCAGCCACAGCAACTTCTTTCAAGATACATCTCCAAAAGCTAGTGAAACAAAAGCAAAAATGAACTTTTGGGACTTCATCAAGATAAAAAGCTTCTGTATAGCAAAGGAAACAGTCAAGAAAACAAAGAGGCATCCCACAGAATGGGAGAAGATATTTGCAAATGACACTACAGATAAAGGGCTGGTATCCAAGATCTATAAATTACTTCTCACACTCAACACCCAAAAAACAAATAATCCAGTCAAAAAGTGGGCAGAAGAGAGGAACAGACACTTCTCTGAGGAAGACATACAAATGGCTAACAGACACATGAAAAAATGTTCATCATCATTAGCCATCAGGGAAATCCAAATAAAAACCACACTGAGATTCCCACCTTACACCAGTTAGAATGGCGAAAATGGACAGGGAAAGAAACAACAAATGTTGGAGAGGTTGTGGAGAAAGGGGAACACTCTTACACTGTTGGTGGGAATGCAAGTTGGTACAGCCACTTTGGAAAACAGTGTGGAGGTTCCTCAAAAATTTAAAAATAGAGCTACCCTATGACCCAGCAATTGCACTCCTGGGTATTTACCCCAAAGACACAGATGTAGTGAAAAGAAGGGCCGTATGCACCCCAATGTTCATAGCAGCAATGTCCGCAATAGCCAAACTGTAGAAAGAGCCGAGATGCCCTTCAACAGATGAGTGGATAAAGAAGATGTGGTCCATATATACAATGGAATATTACTCAGGCATCAGAAAAGATGAATACCCAACTTTTACATTAACATGAATGGGACTGGAGGAGATTATGCTAAGTGAAATAAGTCAAGCAGAGAAAGTCAATTATCACATAGTTTCACTTATTTGTGGAAAATAAGGAATAACATGGAGGATATTAGGAGAAGGAAGGGAAAAATGGGCAGGGGGAGTTGGAGGGAGAGTTGAACCGTGAGAGAGTATGGACCTGAGAAACAAACAGGGTTTTAGAGGGGAGGGGTGAGGGGGGATTGGTTAGCCCAGTGATGGGTGTTAAGGAGGGCACGTACTGCATGGAGCACTGGGTGTTATACGAAAACAATGGATCGTGTATCACTACATCAAAAACTAATGATGTATTGTATGGTGACTAACATAATGAAATATAAAAAAAAAAAAGAAAAAAGAAAAAATGTAATTTTCATGCTGTATATAAAATAAATAAATAAATAAATTTATTTTTCATGGATCATTCATTTATTTTTTAAAGTTTTTATTTAAATTCCAGTAGTTAACATACAGTGTAATATCAGTTTCAGGTGTACAATATATTCAACAGTTTCATACAACACCTGGTGCTCATCACAGCAAGAGCACTCCTTTTTTAAGCTAGTTAATAATATAATTCGTTTTGCAAAAGTTCTGTGAAACTAACCAGTGTAAGGTTTAATAATTTGTGGAGTCATCTGGGGCTTCTGTCTCATTTATTTCCAAGAATATCAGAAAAATCCTAGTAGAGTAGTAAATTAGCATATTTGTGTGCAGGTACATAATGAACCATTCAGTCTTCAGTGGTTGACAAATGGTCATGTATACTTCTCATATTTTCCTATTTTTACTCTATTTTCACAGCTCAGTGTAAACTAAAACCTTGGTTTCATATGAATAAAAAAATTATCCCTTCCTCTTGAAATGTGACAAGGAAGAAAATATTGGGAATAATTCTACCATCTCATCCTCAAGAGCCAGTAGGAATTCTACCATCAGTAAGCATTTTGTCCTGAAGATACTGACACTTCTCTTAAGACACTACAACACTCCTATTACAGGCTGGATCATTAACTGTGATGACTAGTCTCCATGAGTAAATAATATGGGTTAATGTGTCCCAGGGTGAAATAATCTGGAGTGCTCAGTGTCTGCCACATATGTCAGGATCAAGATTTTTTTAAAAAAGAAATGTGTCTGGATCTTCGATTCTCACTGGAGTCTGAACAAAATGAGTGACAAAGTCACTTCTGTGGACTGAGGTCCAGCACAAGAGATCATGTTAGCCAAAAATGTGGAGGGGAGGTTCAGTTTGGTCTGCTGGTATAACTAATAGGGACTATAGTAATTGAATTCTACCCTGATTGCATATATTAAGAATAATGAATTATATAAAGATCTTTCAATTTCTGGTTTAGGAATGACATGGCAACTCTTTTGAGTGCTTGGCTGGCAGCCTCCACACATTCATAGTAACCAGACCCTGGAGAACCAGCATGTGAGGAGAGAGACCAGTGGTAAATGGTTATGCCTACCTTTGAGCCATTCACACATTTTTCTTACATGCCAAAATCTTTAGAGTGAGGAGCAATTGACTGAGATCGACTAGGTAATCAAGGTAAAGGATGAGTCTTTATTTATTTATCTCTTAAGTAAAAGAAATATGGAAATTGAAGAGTAGTTTCTATTTGTCAAAATGCTTTAAAGGATGTTTTAATTTCCTTTCTGATGAGGTCACAAGAATTAGAATACTATTTTCCCCCTGTCACCCAAGCAGAAATGTTCTAGACATTTGAGATATGGACTCAAGTAGATGCTGCACTAAAATTTTTAATTATAAAATGATTGCATTTTCAGTTCTTGGCGTTTTAGGTAGATTTTATTGCCCAATATTCACATTTTGTTAGTGGGTTTCATAGTTAGTGTTGAAGGAGAGATCCTAGTTTTAAGCCCGATGCTGATGGAGGCCGTTTTGGGAAACTTTGAGACCAAGGTCTTGTGACCTTCAATGCTGCCCTGTTTCAAGTATGAACATAATTTTTCTTATTATATAGAGAGTCAAGTGAATATCTATGGTTTATTTTTTACGACTTGTTATTAGTAAACTTTCAATTATGGTGTTTTTGTTTGTCAACTTTCTTAATTTCCCAGTATATTTTGTAGATTTTAAGTGATATTGGAATTGGATGAAATTTCTACCACTGCTCCAATGAACTACTGATTTTGTCATTGTTACCAGTTCTCTTCTATGGGAATAATCAGAACAGTGCACTCCAGAGGTAACTTTGCAATTTTTAATAAAATTTATTATTTATTATTATTTAGGTTATTTCTATTATTTATTTTTGGCAAATAAGATTACACATGATTTTGAAGAGTCTCTTAATCCAGACAATATGAAGCCTTTATATTCTGGGTTATCTGAGACTTCTGTGTACTTTCCCTCCAGGATTTATATGCTTCCTCTTTTAAATTATATCAGAAGGGCCTACTTGAAAAATAGTATTATGATATACTTATTCATAGTAAACCTCTTACGTTGTGAATGATACAGATGGACATGTATACTTCCCATCTTTCCATAATTTTATTCTATGCTAACTTGAACATGGACACAGAACTTGGTTTCATATAAAAGCTTTTATTTCTTCCCTTTGAGACATGAAATGAAGGAAAGTTTTGGGAAGAATTCTGCATCCTATCCTCAAGGGCCAGTGGGAATTTTCATGCTGGTAAGTTTTTTTTTCCTGAAGATACCGACATTCTCTCAGGGAATTTTAACTCTTCTGGTAAGATTTTGGCTAAGCTAGTCAGTCATGAGGCTGGGTCCTTGACTGTGGTGGCTAGTCTCCATAACTGAATAGTATGGTTCACTGTGTCCTAGGGAGACAGAATCCTGAGTGTTCAGTATCTGACATATATCTCAGGATTAAAATCCCTTTTGCAAACGTACTTAGATCAATGATGGCTTCACAAATGGGTCTTGTTGAAATCTGAACAAGATGAGTGACAAAATAACTTCTATAAGGTGAGGTCCAGCACAGGGACCATGATACTAGGCAAAAAATGTGAAAGAGAATTCAATTTGGTCACCAAGGGTACCAAATAAAAAGGACTATGGCATTGGAAAACTAGCATACTAACAAATGCTAGAGGAAATGAATGGTACAGAGGCTGTAAATAACCACTGTGGAATGACACAGCTACTCTGAGGGCTTGACTGATAGCTTTCATAAACCCACATTAAGCAGACTGTGGAAAACCAGCACATGAGTAGTGAACACTGTGGGAAATGGCTGTGCCTAGTCTTGAGCCATTTACACCATCTCCTCAGTCACAGTCATTTGTGAGAATCAACATAGAAATAAGAATCAGTTAGAAATAAGTTATTCAGGGCGCCTGGGTGGCTCAGTTGGTTAAGCGACTGCCTTCGGCTCAGGTCATGATCCTGGAGTCCTGGGATCGAGTCCCACGTCGGGCTCCCTGCTCAGCAGGGAGTCTGCCTCTTTCTCTGACCCTCCCCCCTCTCATGCTCTCTATCTCATTCTCTCTCTCAAATAAATAAATAAAATCTTAAAAAAAAAAAAAAGAAATAAGTTATTCAGGGGCATCTGGGTGGTTCAGTCGTTAAGCATCTGCCTTCAGCTCAGGTCATGGTCCCAGGGTCCTGGGATCAAGCCCCGCACCGGGCTCCCTGCTCAGAGGAGAGCCTGCTTCTCCCTCTCCCACTCCCCCTGCTTGTGTTCCCTCTCTCACTGTGTCTCTCTCTGTCAAATAAATAAATAAAATCTTAAAAAAAAGAAAGAAAAAAGTTATTCATTTTTTTGCTTATTATTTATCTCTTAAATACAAGAAATATGGGAAAATTGAAGAGTAAGTAGATCGTATTTATTAGGTGATCTTATTATGTTTTAATTTGCTTGCTAGCCCAGTTTCAAGATTAGAATTATTTTTCTTTTTCTCCTCACTCAGGGAGAAATTTTCTAGATATTTGATGATGGATTAAATTAGATATTTCATTAAACATTTTAACATGAAATGATTAAATTTCCAATTCTTGGAATTTCATGTTGATATCATTGCTTAACATTCATATTCCATCAGTGGGTTTATGTGTATAAAGGTAAGTTATAATTTTAGTGAGTAATGCTTGGGGGTGGGCTTTGGGTCAGCTTTGAGACCAAGGTTTTAGAAAATTTGATTTTCTATACTACTTTTTTTCCGAGGAAAAAGCATAATTTTTCTAGTTACATAGATGGTCAAGGGAACATCTTTGTTTGATTCCTTAATTATCTGTTATCAGTAAACATTCAACTGGGAAGGTTTTGTTTCACAACTTTTTATATTTCCTCTGTGTTTTTGTGGAATGGAAGTGATTTTTTGAGTTGCATGAATACTCATCACCATTGCAAAGAAGTGCTGATTTTGTCATTTTTATCTGTTCCTTTTCTTTGAGATGGCACAAAACAATACACTCCAAGGGTAATAACCAATTTGAAATAAATTACTTTTATGGCTTATATTTTTTAATATTTTTCTGTAGTCAAGTAGATAATTGGTTTTGTGAAGTATCTGTTAATCTGGACAATGTGCGTTATTAATTATCTGGTGAACTGTCAAATATTTTGTCTCTCTTATTTCCAGGATTTTTGACTTCTCTCTTTGAATAATAACAGAAACATCCTAATAAAGTAATATGAGTTCACTTGATATGAAGGTATATTATAATCCCTTCTGTGTTGTGCATGTTTGATAAATGGACATCACATATTTCCATATTTTAGTCTATTTGCACAAGTTGATATGAACCACTATCTGGGTCTCATATGAATTGATTCCTTCTTCTTGATAGAGTTTCAGGAGGGGGTGGGGGCTGGGTGGCTCAGTTAAGTGTCTGCCTTCAGCTCAGGTCATGATCCTGGAATCCTGGGATCCATCTGCCCCACATCAGGCTCCCTGCTCAGTGGGGAGTCTGCTTCTCCTTCTGCTCTGCCTCTCCCCCCACTCCTTCTCTTTCTCTCATTCACTCTCTGTCAAATAAATAAATAAAATCTTATTTAAAAACAGAGAATTCCAGTAGGAATTCTAACATTAGTAAGCATTTGTCCTGAAAAAAACTGGCATTCCTCTTAGGATACTCTAACATTCATATGACAGTGAAATTCTGACTGTACTAATCAGTTGTGAGGCTGAGTCATTGACTATGATGACTAGTCTCCATGATTAAATAATATGGCTCAGTGTGTCCCAGGGAGACAGAATCTGGAATGCTTAGTGTCTGTCACATATCTTAGGTTTAATATCCCTTTTATAAATGTGACTAGTCCAATGATGAATTAAAAAAATGGATATCATTGGAATATGAAAAAAATGAGTGACAGAAACACTTCTGTGAGCTGAGGTCTGCCAAAGGACCATATGAGGCAAAAAATATGGATAAAGTTCAGTTAGTCAGTAGTACCAGCCAGGTCTGTGGTATTTGAAACCTAAACTTATTGCATACATTAAGAAAAATGAATTGTGCAGAGATCTATAAATATCTGATTTAGAAGTGACATGGTAACTCTGAGTGCTTGGCTAGCAGCATCCATATAGTCATAATAATCAGGCACTGGGGAACCAGCACATAAGTAATGAGACTGATGAGTCACATTTTTGTCTACCATTAAGCCATTCACATGATTTCCTTAGATGCTGCAATCTTGTGAGTGAGGCATAGTCCATTGAGGTCAATTAGATAGTTCAAAAGATATTATAATTCATGAGTTACCAATATTTTTTTAGATAAAGGAAACATAATAGAAGTTGAAAAATGGTTTGTATTTGTGTGAATATCTCAGAGAGTGTTTTAATTTGCTTGTTAATCCAGTCACAATAATTCATAGTGTTTTTTTCTTGCCACTCAAAGAGAAATTTTTTAGATATTTGAATGATGGATTCAAGTATGTACTGCATTAAATATTTTTTTAGAAGAGAGGGGGTAGGGAGATGGGGTAGCCAGGTGATGGGTATTAAGGAGGGCATGTGTTGTGATGAGCACTTGGTGTTATACACAACTAATGAATCATTGAACACTACATCAAAAACTAATGATGTACTATATGTTGGCTAACTGAACTAACTAAATAATATATATATATATATATATATATATATATATATTTGTAACTGTGAAATTATTGCCAATTATATCCAAATCTTGGAATTTTATTGGTTGATGTTGATATTCCTTCAGTCTGTTTCATTTCTGTTTAAAGGAAGATCCTAGTTTTAATGAATGATGCTAAGAGTTCTTTGGAGAAACTTTGACTACGTCTTAAAACAAAATTACTTTGTATACCATTCTATTTCATGGAACAAGGGTACTTTTTTTCTTGTCATATAGCTGGTCATTGAATGTATATAATTAATGCTTGTAAGCTTTTATCAATAAACATTGGATTTGGAAAGTTTTCTTCCTTGGCTCCTCTGACTGTCCCTGTGGTTTGTAGGTTGGAAGTAAGATCACAGTTGCATGGAATTCTTGCCACTTCACCAAAGAATACCTGATTTTGTCACTTTTACCAACTCCCTTACCTGAGAAGAAACAATGATGCACTCTCAAGGTAATATCTATTTTTTAATAAATTTTTTCCTGGGTTATTTTTATCATTTAAGGAATCATGAATTAATTAATGTTGTATAGAATCTGTCAATTTAAACAGTGTGAGGCTTTAGTAATCTAGTGATTCTTCAAGACTTCTGTTTTTTTTCCAGAATTTTTGCACTTTCTCAGTCTTTCTGTTGATCCCTCATATAGGAATTAGGCAGAGAAATGATGGCAAGGTAATTTCTCACCAGTGTGTCAGTGTTCATACCAATAAGTGTGCTTACCCAAATGCCACTAGTACTTAGCAGTGTATCCTTATGAGCACCACCCTAAAAATAGAATGAGAAGTATTTTAATTAAGAGAGCTCACTGTCTGACTTTTCTGTATACTCTCAACCCCTCTAGTTACATGTCATATTTATCGTGCCTATGTGAGCCCTGCATGCATTGCTGTGACCACAATGTGGAATTAGGTGTAGCGTAACCCTATGTATCCTCTGCAAATTGCCATGTTCCTGAGCTCAGGCAGATTAAGTGATTTTTAAACAATGGTGCTTTATTCCCCTATAATGGCTTTTTGTGATTTCCTCCTCTCCAAATCACTGGATCATTTTTGAGTATAAGATAATTCTGAGGTTGAATTGCCAGAAATATATGTGCATTGTTGTGATTGAAATTTTCACCAGGCCAACATTTTCCTGGAACTTTAAGCATACTCTGGTTGCTCATTTAATTTGTCTGGCAGAAAATGTTGGACAAAATTTGCTCTGATGGAGGCTAGAAATTAACACTATTAATATTGTTGGAATAACATTGGAAACATCCTAGGAGAACAGTATATTAGATTATTTAATAAGAAGTGCATTATTGAACCCTCCCATATTGTGCTTCTGGCAGACCAATGAACATATTTATTTCTCATCTTTCTACATTTTTACTGTATTCCCACAGGTCAACAAGGATAGAGCTCAGGTGTCACATGAAAATGTTTATCCTTTACCCTTGAGCTAGGACACAAAGGAAGGGTCCTTCCTCAAGGGCCAGTAGGAATTCTCAATAATTTTCAGTTAGCATTTGTCCCTAAAATATTGATCTTTCTTTTAAGAATTATGTAATATTCCAGTTACCATAAGACAGTCAATGATAGTCAGCTAGGAAACCTGAATCATTAATGTAGGGGCTGGTCTCCATGACTGAATAGGATAGATAACTGTGTCCCAGAGAGATGAACTCCAGAGTGCTCAGTTTCTTTCATTTTCTGAGGTACACAGTACCCTATTTTAGGAACTTGTGTGTATCAGTGATGACTATAATTGACGTCATTGAAAAATCTGAACAAAATAAGTTACACAATCACTTCTGTGAAACTGAGGTCCAGCCAGATATCCATCATAAACAAAATATGTACAAGGGGGAGATCCAGGTTTTCATTTTGTGGTACCAGGAAGAACCACAGTATTAGAAAACTAAGCAACTGAATTCTTAAGATGGTGGAGCAGTAGGGGGATTCTATGCTTGCCCCATCCTTCAAACACAGCTAGATAGATATCAAACCATTCTGAACACCCAATAAATCCATATGGGGACTGAGAGAAAAAATTGCACATCTAGAGGGAGAAAAGTGGCCACATTGTGGAAGGTAGGAGCTGTGGAGAGTTGATTTGGGGAAGAGAATTGCAGATGCTACAGAGGGGATTGAGCCCTGATCATACAGAGAGGAGAGAGAGAGAGAGAAAGAGAGGAAGAAAGAGTGATATCAGTATGCAGGCAATTGCACAAGAAAAACTTCCCAAAAACCATTGACTGAGAAAAGGAGAGAGGCTGATTGTCACAAGATTTTACAAGCAGTGGAGCTGAAAGTCTGAAGTTTTAGAAGTCCATGCCATCACCAGGGTCATGCCTGACAAGCTTAGCAATGCTCCTGCGGGGAAGGAGGACAGAGGCCCAGGAGCAGACGGCATCTAAGGATCCCCTGGGTCACACCAAAAAAGGCAGTTCCCCTTCTTGGAGTGCATTTAGGAAATATGGCACTGCCTCTCAGGACAAAAATGATGGCAGGCACTGTTAAGCAGCCCTGTTAATTAACATTATCAGTGGAGGCATCTGCTGAAGGCAGCTAACCTGGAAGCCAGATTTTGGCTGTGCTTTACCATAAACTCTGAGCCCCTGCATTGTCATGCAACTACTTTTCTGGGACAAGTGGCACCAGCCACAGCACAGCAAGACCCTAACTCAGAGGATCAATGTGGGTCTGAGCTGTGCTGAGTCCCTAGAATTTGGAGTTTTGAAACCCAGCCATACCCCTGAGATAAAACACAGGAGCACTGTGCTGCCAGGCAGAGAGATAGCTCAGACACAGACAGGGTGAAAGCAAGGTCCTGATGGAAACCGGGACACAAGAGGGGAAATTGTTTGGTCTTCTATGAGGCCTCCCTGAACAGCTGCAGGTGTGAACTCCCCTCTCTGGGTACAAGAGAGTGGGGTGACACCATTTTCCCCCAAACCCATCAGCACAACAGATTTCAGTGAGCAGCACAGCACCACCAGTGGAGGCTGGAGCTACTTAAACCAATGCCCACCTCACTGTGCCCTGTGGGTACATCTTTTTTTTTTAATTTTCTAATTTTTATTTTATTTTATTTTTTAGAGAGAGAGGATGTGGGGGAGCAGAGGGAGGAGGAGAGAGAGAATCTTAAGCAGGCTCCACATCCAACTAAGAGCCTGATGCAGGGCTTGATCTCATGACCCTGAGATCATGACCTGAACCCAAATCAAGAGTCAGTTGCTTAACCAGCTAAGCCACCAAGGTGCCCCTGCAGGTGAATCTTTACTAGGTCAAGTCTGCCTAAGAATTAGCAGAGTAAGTCCCTCTCCCCCACACACATACACACACCAACTTAAAGTGCTGCAAATCTTCAGCTATAAGGTAAAATGGATCTAGCCTTTTCTAACAAGCAGACCAAAACATACCTAGTTAAAACTCAGCACACATTGGACCAGGTCCAAACACACCCCACTGAAGGCAAGGAGAAACTCTGCAGAGGACCGATCTGAGGGAAAGAGCAGCCAAACACAACAGCAGAATGTGCACAGCATACACACACACACAAAACTTCCTGAAGCACCAGGCCCTAGACAGAATGTGGCCTCTTCTTAATATAGCCATTACTCTAAGGAGCAGGAAAGGTAACATGTTTCCTTAACACACAGAAGACAGAGGTCTAGGAAAAATGCCAGGTGGAGGAATTTATCCCAAAAGAAAGAACAAGAAGAGGTCACAGCCAGTGATCTAATCAAAACAGATGTAATTAGTATGCCTGAATGATAATTTATTTTTTTAATTTTTTTTATTATGTTATGTTAGTCACCATACAGTACATCTTTAGTTTTTGATGTAGTGTTCCATGATAATTTAAAAGAGCAATCATAAGGATAGTAGCTGGGATTGAGAAAGACAAGGGGAGTCCCTTACTGCAGAGATAAAGGAAATAAAACTAGTCAGGCCAAAAAAAAGAAAAATGCTATTACTGAGATGCAAAACCAACTGGATGTATTGACAAGGATGGGAGAAGCAGAGAAATTAATCAGTGATATAAAAGTTAAAATTATGGGGGGGAAATGAAGCTAAAAGAAAGAAAATAAGAAAAATATTGGATCATGAATGTAGACTTAGGGAACTCGGTGAGTCCATAAAGAATAATAACATTCATATCACAGGAGTCCCAGAAGAGGGAAAAAAGGGGGCAGAAGGTTTATTTGAGCAAATTACAGCTGAAAACTTCGCTAATCTGGGGACAGAAATAGACATGCAAATCCAGGAGGTGCAGAGAACTCCCATCAAATTCAACAAAAGCCAGCCAACACCAAAACAAATCACAATAAAACTGGCAAAGTACACAGAAAAGAAAATAATCCTGAGCACAGCAAGGGAGAAAAAGTCCTTAACCTACAAGGGAAGACAAGTAAGGTTTGCAGCAGATCTCACCACAGAAACCTGGCAGTCCAGAGGAGAGTGGCATGATATATTTAGTGAACTGAATGGGAAAAATATGCAACCAAGAATACTTTATCCAGCAAAGGTGACATTCAGAATAGAAGGAGAGATAGACTCTTAGCTATAGAGAATGAACTGAGGGTTGCTGGAGGGAAGGTGGGTGTGGGGATGGGCTAAATGGGTAATGGGCATTAAGGAAGGCACTTGTAATGAGCACTGAGTATTATATGTAAGTGATGAATCACTGGATTCTACTCCTGAAACTAATACTACACTATGTGTTAACCAACTTGAATTTAAATACGAACTTGGAGAGAAAAAAAGAATATAAAGAAAAAGAATAAGGAGAGGTAAAGAGTTTCCCAGACAAATAAAAACTAAAGGAGTTCAGGACCACTAAACCAGCCATGCAAGAAATATTAAAGGGGACCCTTTGAGTTGGAAAGAAAGACCAAAAGCAACAAAGACTAGAAAGGAACAGAGAAAATCAACACCAGCATTACAGTTAATACAATGGCACTAAATACATGTCTATCATGAATGTAAATGGACTAAATACTCCAATCAAAACACATAGGGTATCTGAATGGATAAAAAGATCAGACTCATCTATATATTGCTTACAAGAGACCCACTTTAGACCTAAAGAAACTTCCAGATTGAAACCATCTATCATGCTAATGGACATTAAAAGAAAGCCAGAGTAGCTAAATTTATATTAGACAAACTAGATTTTAAACCAAAGAATGTAACAAGAGATGAAGAAGGGCACTATATCATAATTAAGGGGTCTATCCAACAAGAAGATCTAACAATTGTAAATATTAATGCCCCCAACTTAGGAGCAGCCAAATATATAAATCAATTAATAACAAACATAAAGAAACTCATTGACTTAATACAGTAATACTAGGGGAATTTAACACCCTACTTACAGCAATGGGCAGATCATCTAAACAGAATATCAACAATGAAACAATGGCTTTGGATGACACATTGGACCAGATGTACTTAACAGATAT